CGCGCCGACAGAAGCGCGCTGTAACCCTAAACCTAAACCTAACCCTAAATCTAATCCTAAACCTAACCCTAACCCTAAACCTTACCTTAACTTAAATCGCGCTTCTGCGGCGCGCTGTTGTCGGCGCGCTGTTGCCGGCGCACTTTTGACATCGCGGTTTTAGCGCTGCGGTTTTGTTGGCGCGCTTTTGATGTTCGCACATTTGTCGGGTCACGGTTAGCCTGCAGTGAGAGAGAAACTTTCTGCTGGGGCTGCCGGCGCTCCTAATAAAAGAACCTTTGAGTTAACTTCAGAGGGTTTGTTGGGTTTGAGGAGCTGGGTCAGAACACCAGGAGAGGGAAGCATAGCCACGCACATTTGGTCTCTTCTTGAACTGTATCCCCAATTTTGTCTTCCCTTCTCCAGACCACGGTCGAGACGGTGGAGCTGGACCCAATCGCCTCTCCTTCGGAGCAGCCGGCCCCCGTTGTGGAATCGGCTTCTCCTCCAGCTCCGGTGCCACCCAACCCTCCGGCCTTGGAGAGTCCGCCTCCCCCACCACCTCCTGCTATCGTCCCTGCCCAGCCCACGGTGGTGGTGACCTCCAGCGCCGGCCCCCAATCGGCCGGCCAAACCAGCATCACCAAGATCATCATTCCCAAACAGATGCTGCCATCCTCGCTGGCAGTCACATCGCAAGGAGGCGTGGTGACGGTCATCCCCGCCACGATGGTGACCTCGCGGGGCATCCAGCTGGGGCAGCTGCAAGCTGGGACAGGAACCACCCAGATCGTGACGCGTTCGGTTTTAGCCGCAGCCGCTGCGGCCGCCTCGTCCATGCACCTGCCGCGGCTTCAGCCTCCCCCTCTTCAGCAGATGCCTCAGCAGCCCCCCGCCCAGCCGGTCACCATTCTCCAGCAGCCCCCTCCTCTTCAAGCCATGCAGCAGCCTCCTCTGCAGCAGAAGGTGCGCCTCAACCTCCAGCAGCCCCCGCCCCCCCTGCAGATCAAAATCCTGCCCCCGCCGGCCCTTCAGATCCAGCCCATTCCTCTGCGGACAGAAGAAAGCAGCCCTGAGAGGACCAGCACTGAACTCCAAGCATCGCCGGAGCCCATCGATGTCGTGCCGGAGGTATGGAGCCATATGGGAGAAAAAAAAGAGACAGCGTTGAATAGCTGCGCAATAAAGTTGGAAGAGGCCTTGGAGGTCTTCTAGTCCAACACCCTGCTCAGGCAAATGATTGTCCAATCTCTTCTTAAAAACCTCCAGTGTTGGAGCACCCACAACTTCCGGAGAAAATAGAAGGATATTACCCTATTTTTTGGAATATAATATGCTCCGGAATATAAGACGCACCTTAGTTTTTGGGGAGGAAAATAAGAAAAAAAAATCCTTAGCAAACAGCCTGGTCAGCTTCAGCACATTAGCCTGATTCAAGATGAGCAGCTGATTGGCGGGTGGAATACCCAGACTACCCCCAATCAGCTGTTCTCCAGAGATAAACTTTAGCAACAGGTTTCTCGGTTGTGAATGCACGTTGGGGCTGATAAGCAGCTTGAAAAACACAGCTGATCATCACTGGGCGCTCAAGGGACTACAGAAGGTGAAGCGCAGAACCAGTCAGACAAGGCAACCACTGTTCCGGGTTGCCATTTTGGCCACTGCGGCCTTAGTTTTCAGTCTCCGAATGCTCTGCGGGGATCACTGAAGCACATCGCCACCAATCGCCGCCCGAAAATGCAACGCGCAGAAGTCAAAAAGGGGCCTAAAATGCGATGCGCGGAGGCGGCGATGTGATCCTGCGATCCCCCACGGCTCCATCTCAAACGGAGCATTCGGAGGCTAGAAACGCGACACACAGAGGCCAAAAGCGCACGCCAGGGAGGGGGCGATGGTCTGTGGCAATCCCTGCAGCCTGGAAAAGGTCTAAACAGCAACGCGCAGAAGTGAAGGGTGGGGGCCGGCAGCTGGGCAGAGCTACATTTGGTGTATAAGACGCATCCAAATTTT